GGACAAGAGGAAATAGGGGATTAAGTTCAAATCAAACACGGGAACACACACACACACACACACACACACACACACACACACACACACACACAGAGTGACTCCATGCAGGTGCAAGACTGCGACGAACCGAGGCACGCCGACGCTTCTCCTTGCGAATGGCGGCGCGATCCGTGTACGAGAGCGACGTGTTCTGCAGCAGACTCTCCAGGCCTTCAAGGTCCTGGTGTGATGGGAAGTGGCAGCAGGTTGGCGATGTGATGGTGGGTGAGGTCCCACGAAACGAAGACACGCACAAGCGCAAACAGGAGCACACACGGACACACACACACACACACATACATACACTTGCACACATACACACAGACCGACAGAAAGACAGTCAGTGAGACACACACACGCACACACACACACACGCACACATGCACAGACACAGACACACAGACACACAGACACACACACATACACACGCATAATACGCACAAGCTTCTCGAGGGCGGCGGGCGACGTGTCGATGTCCGATTTGCTCGCGGTGCGCGAATTGCGACGGACACTCGGGGATCCGAGTGGCGATGCTGATGATGTTCGCAGTGGCAGTAGCAGTGGCGCCGGGTGTGGTACATATGAACGCACATGAGTGAGGCGAGAAGGGAGGGCGCGCATTGCAGCGGGTACCCACACAGACAAATTAACAAACTGCGAAGCAACATGCACGCATTCTCACAAAAAAACGTGCATACACACACGAACATACACACAGACACACACACAGACACACACACAGACACACACACACACACGAACAGGCAGACACAGACAACGACACAGACACAGACACAGACACAGACACACACACACACAAACACGCAGACACAGACAACGACACAGACACAGACACAGACACACACACACAAACACGCATACCTGCGCCCTTTGTGCGACTGGCGCTGCCTGCCACGCGAGCACGGGACCGCGTTACGGGCGGCGATGCCTTTGGAGACGCCTTGGGCGAGGACTTTGGCGACGCTGCAGACCTGGCGCCAGTCTTGCTGCTGGTCCTGGACCTGTTGCCCTTCACCGTGACTGGGGATGTGCCCCCGCTGCTGGTGCTGGTGCGAGACGTTGGGCGGGACGAGCGCTTCTTCTCCTCAGCGGGCGTCTTTTTTGGGCCGGCCTTGCCTGGTGTCATGCTGCCGGTTCGTGGCTTCTTCGTGCCGGCGGCCTTCTTCTTTGTCGCGGACTTGTCCTTGCTGCCGAACAGCTCCTCCTCATCGTCATCGCCATCGTCAAACTAAAGTAGCAGCAACATGTGTGTGCATGTGTGTATGTGTGCGTGGGTGCATGTTTGTAGGCGCAGGGAGGGAGTGTATGGCATCGCGCAAGGGGATCAAGGTGATGAGTTAGCCACGACGAAAGCACAGGCTGCGATGCCACAAGGCAGACACGACGGCACGACTTGCTTCTGAACAACGCATGCAAGACCAAAACGGACGTCAAAGATGCTGCTCTTCTTGGCTGCTGTCGTCGTTGGTCCTTTTGCAGGCGTGGCTTTGGACGAAGACGTGGCCTTCTTCGATGCCAACGTCTTCAGAAAGTCGTCGTCGTCCGAGTCAGAGTCGCCGAACAGATCGGCCGTCCTATCCAGCACACAAGCAAGCACACACCACAAAGAAAGTTTGAGACAGTCATGCATTGGTGATGCAACCACAACCAAAACACACAAAAACCAACACTTCATCAACCTCACCACCCACACCAACAGCTTCACACGCATGCACGATTCGGTGACACGCCACACTGGTGACCGCAGGCTTTCACACAACGGGCCCAACTCACTTCTTCTTTGTCGCAGACATGTTGAGCGGGCTGGCTGGCTGGTGGCAGTGGTGTGGAAGCGGATGTGGAAGCGGCAGTGTGGGAGCAAAACAAAACAACAACAGCAGTCGAAGATGGAGGTGCGGAAATTATGCTGTCGGACACGATTCCGACTCGCTTGCTTCTCTTTTGTCTTCTCGTGTTTCTTGGTTGTTGGAACGGATAGTCTGACTGGTGCGACAAGCAAAGGATGGCACCCACACACACGACACACACACGACACACACACGCACGCACGTACGCACACACGCACGTACGTTCACACGTACGCGCACAACACACTGCAGAAAAGAACACAAGAACGCAAGACAAAATCCAACGCAAACAAACAAACACAATCACATCATGTGTCACATCACGCGAGCGCGGCGTGCAGCGAGTGAAACGTCTCTGGTGTGAGGAAGACGCGGCCGTTGCGAGCAGCCGCAATCTGCGCGCTGGACGGGAGCGTGAGTGTGCCGAGTGTCTTCCCCTCCGCCGCCTCCTTCATGCGCTTCAGGTGATCCACGCCAGCAAACGCGCCAAGCGTCGGCTGCTGCGTCGTTGCGGCCGACAGCAGCGGCAACAGCTCGTCGCGCGCACGCGTGCTCCGCAGCCGCAGGCTCTCTAGCTGGCCTGCGGCAACTGCCAGCGACGCACCGGGGTTGCTCGGCTCGGCACCAGCACCGGCGCGCGAAGCCGCTGTGGCGCCTTCTGTATCTGCACCTGCTGCTTTCTCCTGCTTCTGCTTCTTTTCCTCTGCAGGTGTCAGGCGGACAACGCGCAGCGAAGCCAGCGACTGCATCACGTCACCACACACCTGGTTTGCGGCCTTGATGGCCGTGCCAGCCTGTGCCAGTCGCGGCGGCACGGGGCGACGCGGGCAGATGTTTGGCAGCGCGGACAGCGTGTCCAGTGCGCTCTTGGCCTGGGCGGTGGCAGTGAGGCGGCGCTGGTGTGCAAGCTCCTCCTGCAGCACAAACAGGCGCACCTGCGCAGCACGAAGCTCGGCGCTGCTCACGTCTGATCCGACAGTGGAGACGCGGCCGCCGAGTGACGGGCCCTCCGCAGCGTACAGGCGCTTACGGAGCTCGTCGCGCTCTTTCGACAGCTCTTCGTATGTTTCTTCAAACTCGCGCAGCTGCACGTCCATATCATGTCGCAGCTTGTCAAACTCGGCCCGCTCCTCCGCCATCTTGGCCTCCTTCTCCTGCACCTGCTGCTCGCACTGGTAGCGCACGCTCTCAATGTTGCGCTTGCTCGCAACAAGCAGGATGTCCTTCTCCTTCAGGTTCTTGTCCTTCATCTGCTCGGGGTTGGGTGGGGTGGGTGGAGGTGGAAGGGTAAATATGAGCAATGAAAGGAACCAGCACACAAGCACGAACTTGTGTGTGTGTGTGTGGTCGCGCGCATCACCAGCCACAAACCACACACACACACACACACACACACACACACACACACACACACACACACACACGCACGCACCTTGACGTCCTTCTTGAGGGCGGCGAGTTCAGCGGAGAGGCGCTCCACCTCTCGTGGAAGCGCCAGTGTCTCTGCTGCAGACTTGCGCATGGCAGCCGCATTCACCTCCCACGCAGCCGGCCTGGTGCAGCGGTGTGTGTTGTTGTTTGAGTGGGAGGGCAGGAGTGGGGTGATGGGACGCGTGGAGAAGGGGTTGGTGAATGAATCGTGTGTTGGTGAGAGGGAGAGCAAAGAACAAATGGATTATCGCATGTCACGGAGCAACCAACACGACACCAACGTCACATCGACATCACGTCGACATATCTCCCACTGGAAGCGTCAAGTGTGACAGGTACGTACTGTTTGGTTTCGGGGCTGGCCGCAGCCTGCACATCAAAGTCGCCCGCCTCCAGGCAGCCAGCGAGGTCCACCAGCAGCTGCATTGCATCATACAGCACGTTGGGCACATGCACAGGAACCATGCTTTCGTCTGCACCCTCCTGCCGCGCGCGGGCCGTAAATGTGCCGTCCTTGGACAGGTCCACACGCGCGTTGACGCCAATTTGCATCGCCGTGTCCAGGTCGAGGGCACGAAGCGTCACGGAGCCGTGCACGTGGTCCTGACAATGGTTGGGGGCGACGGGTGTGGTCGTGTGCGCGCATGTGAGTGTGTGTGTGTGTGTGAATGTGGGGAGTTGCTTACGAAAATGGACGTTCGTGTGGATGCGCAACCATCGGCAAATGTGTGCATGTGTGTACAAGCGTGTGAACGTGTGTGTCTTCCCATACGTGGTATGCCTTTGACGCGTGGCTGAGGGCAATGGCAGCAGAGAAGAGGTTGTGCGCGTGCTGTGCGAGCATCTGCTGTCGCTCCTCGTCGAGTGCAATGGTCGTGTCAGCCATCTTGGGTGGCAGGTGCCGCAGGATCTGCGCACACAGGTGGCGAGACAACGGGTGGATTAAGGCAATGCGGTCATGCTTGAACCAGCCCTAAAAGAAACATTGCGCACACATGCACATGTACGCATACACGCACACACACACACACAAACACAACAAACACAACAAACAAACGAACAAACACACAAACACAACACAACACAACACAACACAACACAACACAACACAACACAACACAACACCTTGCGGCAGGCGGTCTTTGCGTCCCTGCACTGGCTGCTCATCTCGCGCATGTGTGCGAGGAGGGGCCCAAACGCCGGGTCCATGCTGCCTGTGGACGACGACCGCTTGAAGATTTCGTCCAGGCGCAGCAGCTCAGCCTCCACAACATCCAGTGCGCCGCTCGCCGTCTGCACCTCAACCTGCACGCGGCCAGTGTTTGTTTGGGGGAGCGGGGAGGAGCAAGGACAGAAAGGTGTGGGTGGGAATGCGAAGGCAAGCAAGGGCGAGAGGAGGTTGAGGAAAGATGTGAGGGGTGGTGGTGGTGGTGGAGACACACATTTGAGTACACGAACGCGCCAGTGCAATTGCAACCACCTGAGCTCATCTGTTTCACACGTTCGAAAGCCATGTTGGATCTCACGTTTGCGGCATCACGGCTGTCACGCGGCACGGCGTCGGCAATTCGCGTCGTCATCGTCGTCCGGAACGCCTTGGCAGCACTGGGCCACAGCATTGCAGTGGTGTGTGAGTGAGTGAGTGTGTGTGTGTGTGTGCACGAGTGAGTGTTGCAGTGGTGTGTGAGTGAGTGTGAGTGAGTGAGTGAGTGAGTGAGTGAGTGAGTGAGTGAGTGAGTGAGTGAGTGAGTGAGTGTGAGCGAGTGAGTGTGAGCGAGTGAGTGAGTGAGTGAGTGAGTGAGTGAGTGAGTGAGTGAGCGAGTGAGTGAGTGAGTGAGTGAGTGAGTGAGTGAGTGAGTGAGTGAGTGAGTGAGTGAGTGAGTGAGTGAGTGTGTCAGTAACTGTTACAGGTCCATTCTCACGGTGCCACCACATTGCCAACGGAAGATCAGCCCTCGGGTGGTACTCACGCCTCGACGTCTGCGAGCGGGATGGACGGGTCAAGGCCGTCGCCGCGCAACCGCTTCAGCAGCGAATCTAGGGCAGGCTCGTGCGCAACAAGCTGGCGATGATATGGTGGTGATGATTTGGTGGTGGTGATGATGGTGGAAGCGATGAGGATGTAGACGAGATGAGAATTGCGGTGCGACGGCAGAGAGAGGGGGAGCTCGTGGGTGACGGTGATTGAGAACAAGGTGCAAGTGACGAAACTGCTTGTGTACAATTGCGTGCGTGTGTGTGCGTGCGCGTGTGCGTGTGAAGTGTGAAGTGTGCACACCTGTGGGAAGACGTCGCCAACCGCTTTGAATGTCTCTGCGTCCAGCTTGTGCATGGCCTGAAAACGAACGACAGCGAACGCACGCGCGAGGTGTGCGGGAGAGAGATGAACGAGAAGTAACGACGGCGATGGCATGGGAAGAGGCAAGACAGCAAGACAGCACGGCGCATGGCGCGTGTCAAACGCATGCCACGTGTCACAATGTGCGCGCACAAAGCACACCATCAACGCCCATACGAGTAGGACGGATCACAATTCAAGCAAGAACGCAAAATGGGGTGCGAGCGCATACCTGGTACATGTACTCGCAGTCGAGGCGCAGCATCGTCAACAACTCAACCAGCCTGCACGTGCAAACGACAGCCATTGTGTGCACGAGTGTGTGTGTGTGTGTGTGTGCATACGTGAGCTGTGCAAACGGTAAAATGTGGAGCAAAGTTAAGCCAACAGCGCGTTGTGTGCGTGTGCGTGTGTGTGCATGTGCGTGCGGTGTTCAGGCAAACTCACGCTGCGCCAAAAGCAAACTGGTCAATGGTGAGATCAGAGTCCTCCGTCACCACTTCCGAAATGTCTGCAGGCAAACAAGGGTGGAGGCAGTTGTGCACGCGCATGAGCATTCGTGTGTGTGCGTTGTGTGTGTGAATGTAAAGGGTACACGTCATCACATGCACGCACACTTGCTTTCGTTACACACGCGCACAACAACACAAATATGCACGACACCACACCACTTCCTCCAATGACAACAACAAGAACAAGAACAAGAAGAACAACAGCAGCAGCAGCAGCAGCAACGCACCCTGGCCAACAGCAAACTCTGCCGTTGCGTGCTCGGCGAGGATGTGCGATTTGCGAACAACACGATCAAGCAGCATCAACAGCTGCAGCCCATTGTAGTCGTGTGTGAAAAAGTCCTCAGGCAGAAACATTTTCAGGTACCTGCACAACGGGTGAAGAGGGTTGAGGGCGTTGGGAATGAGTGTGTGCGTACGTGTGCGAGTGGGTGGCAGACAGCGCCACATAGTGCACATTGTGTCACATCTTCCTTCATCATGGTTACCTCCCGTTTCCCCTCCATCCCCCCCCAACCACCTCCTCCTCCACAACCACTACCCAAACCATCACCACCGCCACCATGTCTACGGACGCACGTGATGTGCTGCTTCGCCTGCTCCTCTTCGAGGGCGTGCAGTTCGGCCTCAATCGCCGCCACCCGCTGGTGCGCCTTCGACTCGCTCGCCTGGCAGTCGCAAACAAGCAGTTTTGGGGGAGGGGGGGGGAGGTATTGACGCGGTGGTGGGTATGATGGGTGACGTTCGGAGGTGGCCATGGCAGCTGCCGAGCAGCGCAAATGTGCCATCACCACACACACACACACACACACACACACACACACACACAACGCAACACAGGCACCTTGTGTTTTGCAGGAGCGGGTTTGGGCTGCACAGGGGCGGCAGATGCAGCATGCTGCTGGTGTTGCTGTTGCTGCTGCGTCTTCTGCAGGCTCTCCTCCTTCTCCTTAAGCTGTTGACCCGAAATGAAAAAAAATATTCGACAGGAATGCGACAGCCATATGTCAGCACAAACCAGGCAAGTCAGCAACAGCTCACACATCGCAAACGCACAAACACAACACACACACACACACACAAACACACACACACAAACACACATGCACACACAAACACACATACACACACCAACAACTTCACACACAGGCACACACACATACACAACAACAGCACGTTGACTCACGGCAGCGCTGTATTTTGCGATGGCCTCGGCCTGCTCCTGATTCCGGTCCACAATCGCGTTGAGCACTTGCATCAGCTGCAAACATCAACGAGTAGAAACATGCACGAACAAGAACAAGCCAGCTTGGGTGAGTGCAAGCAGCCGAAACACGCGCGCATGCGTGCGTTGTGTTGACGTGTTTGCAATGGCACAAGCGTCCAGATGCACACTGGTTGCACAATGAAGCAAAATCAATCAACACAACACCACAGCGGCAAGCCCTATCCTCCATCCATCATTGATTATGTTCCACCTTGTTGACAGATGATCTGAACTCGTCGTTGTCGGCCTGTGTCTCGTCGAGCGTCTCCTCCAACGCCGTCTGTGTCTCCTCCAGCACCCCGACTTCCTGTCGCAGCTCGTACACCTCCTGTACACGTGTTGTCGTGGTGTTGTGCATGTATCAACGAGAGTCATCTCCTCAACACGCGCGCGCGCACACACACACACACACTCACACACACACACACTCACTCACTCACACAACACAACACAACACACACTTACACAACACAACACACACACACACAAGCACAGGTCACCGCAATGACACTGCCCCCTCCTGCTCTCCTTCGAGCCTCACTCCGCCTGCTTCCTGAGTAACGGCAAATGAACAAACGCCCTCACCTCCTCCAGCAGCTGACACCGCTCCTCAAGGGCCAAGTTCTGGTCTGTCAGCGACTCGACCATCGTCTCCGCGCTAAAGTGTGAGTCTGCGCGCGACACCTGCGACTTGTACTCCTGCATGGCCTTTTCCAAGGCCACGTCCTTCATTTGGAGTGCCTTACCGAGCGCGGTGTTGTCAGCCATGGCGTCCGTCAGCTCTGCCCGCACCGCCGCGTTCTCTTCCTGCAGCGTCTGGTTCTGCTCGCGAAGCTTGTACAGGGCCTGATGGAGGGTGTGTGTGAATGTGTGTGTGTGTGTGTGCGTGTGTGTGTGTGTGTGTGTGTGTGTGTGTGTGTGTGTGGATGTGCGTGGATGTATGTGTGGATATGTGTGTGGATGTGCAGATGTACGTGTGGATGTATGTGTGAGAAAATGTGAGACGTAAGTCACGGGCAATGAATGGTGTCAGAGTACATATACCCTCACCAAGCAACAGCAAGGCAAAGTAAACCAGACAGCAGACACCGCACCACTGTCAGGCGTGCAATCTTGTTCTTGAGCGCCTTCATGGCTGCGGTGTTGTTGGTGCGGTTCGGGTTCAACGCATCATCATCGCCATCATCATCACCGCCGTCACCATTGGCCTCATTGGCACCTGCACCACCGTCAGCGTTGCCCTGCTTGGCGTCTGCTGGCGCTGCTGCTGTTGCCCCGGCCTTTGCTTCCTCCTTCTCCGCCTCCAAGATCTCAACCGTCAGCGTCAATTCCTCGACTTTGTCTTGAAGCTCCTCCACCTCTTCTTGCAGGTCCCGGTTCTGCACCGAGCACCATTTGTGTGGTGTTTTGTGTTGCATGATTGTGGGCACAGGGGAGCGGCACGGTTGCAGAGTGGTGATAGGAGTTCGTTCCATGGCACCCACGGACACATGCACAGGCATGTGTACGTGTATATGTACAAACACTTGAACACACAAGCGCGCAAACACATGTATGACTCCCCTTCCCAAAACACACACGCAAACACACACACACACGCACACACACACACACACACACACACACACACGCACACACGCACACGCACACACACACACACACACACACACACGCACACGCACACGCACACGCACACACACACTCACGCACACGCACACGCACACGCACACACACACACAACACGATACGCCACGAGCCTGTTGTGATACCTTTTCCTCGGCGACCTGCTTGTCGAGCAGAGCAATCTGCGTGGTCTCCTTGAGCATGGCCACCTCCGACTCCAGTCGTTGAACGTCCACGTCCGAGATGCGCTTGCGCTCGTTCAGTTCAGACACGAGCATGTCCTGCTTCTGCTGCCACAGCTCTTTGAACTGCTGCAACTGCTCCACTTGTTTCTGCGCGCGGGAGGGGAACACAGACACGCGTGATTGTGACGTTGGGGAGTCATTACACGAGCGGCAAGCAGGGGGAGGGGGGAGGAGGGCAAGGAGAGAAAGAATATCGAGGCAGAGAAGCAGGGGAGAAGGAAACTGGCACTAACACACTCACACACACGCACGCACGTACACACACGCACACATCAGAACACACCTTGTATTTCTCCAGCTCGCGAACGCGAATGGGATCTGTCTCCGCCTCCACCACCGTCGATCGCTTCGTCGCTGCTGCTGCTGCTGCTGATGTTGTGTGGGGTTTACTGTTACTCCTTGCTGCTGCTGCTGTCGCTTTGGCGGGCGCGTGTGTGGCTGCTTGGCCTGTGGCGGGCGCGTGCGCTTGCTTGGCCGGCGCTGGCGCTTCTGTTTCAGCGGGGGCGTCACCAGCTGTGCGCGCGTGCGCGTGGCTGTGGTTTGCAGCCGCTGAAGCTGATGACGACGATGTTGATGTTGGGCGCGGCGCTGCGGACTTGCCGGGCTCTGATGATGTGCTTGACGGTGCTGCAATCCTCGACTTTTGTGGCTGTGGTCGCTGTTGCTGCTGCTGTGGCGGTTGCGGCGGTTGCTGCTGCTTCTTTGCTTCATCTGCACGCGCAAAAGAGGAAGAAGTGGGGGGGGGGAGAGGGAGAAAGAGAACATGAGGAATGCGTACAAAGACATTGAGCGTCGTTGAAACGTGGTGGAGGCGTGGTGGAGGCGTGTGTGTATGTGTTGGGGGAGTGGGGGGAGGCTTGTGTGCGTGCATATAGGAGACAAGTTAACCGTACCAGTTGTGGATTTTGAAGAAGAGGAGCTGTCCTTCGTAGACCCTGGTGGACGTGAAACGACAGAAATCAAGAAGGAGAGGAGTATCAGGTTGCATGTAGCATGACATGGGGTGGGAGGGGGAAACGACGACACACACACACACACACACACACATGCACAGTTTTGTCGTTCACCCGTGCGCAGTGTTGCCATTCATACACACACACACACACACACACAGACACACAGACACAGACACACAGACACACAGACACACAGACACAGACACACAGACACACAGACACACAGACACACAGACACACACACACACACACACACACAAAGCTCAGCTCTTACGGGTGGGCTTTGCCAGTTTTGTGCGGGATGTTTGACGAGACGAGCTCGGGGTAGCGGCTCTGCTGCCCGTGCCACTGGACGTGGAGGATGCGGCCTTTGTTGATGATGGGGAGGACGATTTGCTTGGCGAAGGAGCAGGCGATTTGGCACCAGAGGGTGCTTTGACAGGCTCGACCTGCGTCTGCCGCACAAACATGCCGTGGTGCATCTCGCACTCAAAGTAGGGTTTGCCCTGCACGGTGCCGTTGTTCTTGCCTTTTGCCTCATCGAGCTCGATGCCAATCCACTTGCCCTTGGCAAAGTCAACCAGGCCCACATAGCGCACGGTGCCGAGAAGCTTCTTATCGCGCACCATCACGCGCATGCCCGGTTTGATGAGCAGCGACATGTCTGGTGTTGCCCACCGCTGTGATGCGCTTGGGCACTGGATGCGTTCCACAAGCACACAAACCGGCGTGTGTGAGGTGGTGTTGTGATATGTTGTGCTGTGAGGTGGTGTTGTGATATGTTGTGCTGGGAGGTGGTGTGGTGTTGATCACTGCAACAAAGCACTGCAATGGAGAAGCATCGCACACCGGCAGACGAAAAGAGCACACAAGCACACACCTATGCACACAGACTTGACAGACACGCCTTCACTCACACATTGACTCACACAATCACAGACACACTCTCGCATACTCTCGCACACCTGATCCTGCTCTGCACTGATGGAAGGTTGTTGCTTTGCTTTGCTGTAGTCGTCGTTGTTGCTGGAGCAGCAGCGGCCGCTGGAAGAAGAAAGAAAAAAATAAACAGCGGCAGGGGCGAAAAACAATTGCACAGAATCGTCTAAGCAACCACAGCCGCACAGACGAAGCGAGTGGCACCCCGTACAGCACCCGCTCAACACGCAAGCAAGCGTCCCTGACTCGCATACGCACGCACGCACGCACGCACGCACACGCACACGCATACGAACACAGGCCATGTCGTCGAAGAAGGGAAAGAGGAAGACGGGATCGGCAAAGGAGCCCAGCAAACTGGCCAAGAAATACGAAGATCTCTCGGTTCGTCGTTTGTGTCCTGTCATTCACACACACACAACCGCACAGCCACACACACACAGATACACACACACAGATACACACACACACACACACACACACACACACACACACACACACACACACACTAACACACACTATCACAACACGATGCGTGTAGGACAAAGAGTGGGTGGAGCTGGCAGCAAAGGGAACGTTGGCATGGCGAAAGGACCTGATCTCCTCGCCCAAGATGGCAAGGGCCTTGCTGACGACAGACGCCGCAGCGCTTCAAACGTGGGCGTGCGCATGTGCATGTGCATGTGCATGTGCTTGTGCATGTGCTTGGCAGTATTGTTCCCTGTCAACAACAACACAACAACAACAACAACAACAACAACAACAACAACAACAACAACAACAACAACAACAACAACAACAACAACAACAACAACAACAACAACAGCAACAACAACAACAACAACAACAACAACAACAACAACATCCCGTCCATGCACACCCACGAACACTCTCCTTTGCCGCCTGTACCTCGCTATGAACGAGGTTGTCCTGTCGCTGTGTGCTCACGCTCTCTGACCTCTCTGCTTCTTCTTTGACAGACAATTGGAGGGAATGATGAAGTTGACGGATACGCACTGCAACATCTTGGACGCAGCACTGTTGGACATCTATACACACGTCATCTGGTGGGTGCGTGCGTGTGTATGAATTCTCTGTCGAGTCCAACACACTCTCGCCAGCCACACACACACACACACATGTGCGGAGCACCGATTGCTGGGATATCGGCATCAGGCCACGTGTCCCGTTGCCGTGGTTCTCATTCTTCTTGCTCATGCATCCCTACCCCTCGTGTGCGGCTGTGGCTCATTGCTGTATCTAGGAAAGCGAGAGAAGCCCAATTGAATGTGCTGCAAACATCTGCGTTCTTCTCCCTTGTTGTTGAACTCATCAACAACATCAGAGGTGCGTCGGCTGTGTGTGTGTGTGTGTGTGCGTGCTCTTTGGTATCTGCTTTTCTGCCTGTCTTTGCGCTTGCTGTTAATCGTTGCACCGGCTCTCCTCCCGTTTTCACACACACACACATACACAAATGTCGCTGAGCAGAGAAGCAAATGCCGTTGAGCGAGAACATGGAGTACTTCAAACAGGCCATGCGAACACATTCTGTCATGGCGCCCTGGGATGGCGTCTCCTCCATTCCCGACTTTGATCTCCGCACCATCTCCATCGTCACAGAACACATCAAAACAACGTGCGTCTGTGTGTGTGTGTGCGCTTGTGTGTGTACGCGTGCGTGCGTGTGTGTGTGTGTGTGTGTGTGTGTGTGTGTGTGTGTGTGTGTGTGTGTGTGTGTGTGTGTGTGTGTGTGTGTGTGTGTGTGTGTGTGTGTGTGTGTGTGTGTGTGTGTGTGTGTGTGTGTGTGTGTGTGTGTGCAGCTGTGCATGGCTTGCGTTGCATACGCTTGTATGTGCGCGCGCAGTTGTTTCGCCGTTTGTACACTTGCATCTGTGTGTGTGTGTGTGCGTTGCACTGTACGCTCACCCTTGCCCAGATCACTCCAATGTTCGTGCCCACTCGCGCCCCTCTCACACACGCACGGCCTGCTACTGTTGTGGTGTGCGTTGACAGCATCTTCCAGCACTACGCGCTTTACTTCCACGTGCTGTCGCAGCCGTTCGAGCCAGAGACTGTGCCGTTCCAGCTGAGCTACCGGACGCCCATTGTGCCGCCGCCGTTGTCCGAGGCAGTGCCGCTGCCAGAGATGAAGGCAAACAACCCTGCATTCGCCCACGCAGCATCAGCAACGCAGCACAACGGTGCTGATGACTCTGCATCACACCACCACGACGACGCCAGCGAGCGCGCATCCCCAACACCATCGAGAACATCACCCCACCTCGCCGCCTCCATCCAACCCATCGCAGAGGAATGATGTGACAGCTTTGCGCTTCTTCTGTGGCTTTGTTTGTACATACGATTTCTGTTGCATATTTTACATAAAACGACCCCCGCGAAATTCAATTTTCAACCGCTCAACCAGCCAGCAACCGAACACATAGACACAGACACACACACACAGACACACACACACACACAGACACACAGACACACACAGACAGACACACACACACACACACACACACACACACACACACACACACACACATCGACGATGGCGACGCCGCCTGCGGACTTGGTGTCGAGGGCACAGCGCGCCGTGGCAGAGGCCATGATGCGCATTCAGCAGGTCTGGCATGTGCTGGGCATTGACGAGGAATACCAGGAGGAGCGCTCCGAGGAGATTATGAACCTCGTCAACGGACTCGTCATGACCATGGCCGAGCAAGAAGAAGAGGAGCGCGACAACGTCCTCCGGCGCGTCAAGGAGAACAGGGAGCAGCTTGCATCCCTGGCCAAGGAAATGAACGTCGAGCCTGGCGTGGACACAGACCTGCCCCTGCTGGACCTGGACAAGGCACTCGGCGACCGCATCGCAGCGCTGAACGAGGAGCGGGAGCAGCGCATCCACTCCCTCATCGACCTGGAGAGCAGGCTCGAGGTGCTGCAGGAATCCCTGGTGGTAAGCGAGAAGGAGGAGAAGCGTGAAGACGAGCTGTCCATGGAGCGACTCGAAGACCTGAGGCACCGCATCACAGAGTATGAGAAGGAGCTTGACGAGAGAAAGAAGGGCTTGGCGTCCACCATGAAGGAGATCAAGCACCTGTGGGCGCAGCTGCGCTACCGGCCCCGCACAGAGTTTGAGGAGCAGGTGGCAAAGGGCGTTGATCGGCTCCCGCTCTCGCCCGCCAACATCCTCGCGCTGCACCGCCTCCGCGACTCGCTCAAGGACATGCTGCCCGCGCTGAAGGTTGAGGTGGACACCGTGGCCGCGCGAACGCACGAGATGTGCATGCTGCTCGGGGAGCAGGAGGATGAGTACGTGCGCGCCGCAGCCCGCATCAAGGAGAAGACGGAGGCATTTGATGGCGTGTGCCGCGACGCCATTGATCTGTGGGAGCAAGAGCTGGAGCGCCTACACAAGAAGAAGCAGGCCATGCTGCCTGTCGTCGTGCTGAAGACCTTTGAGAAGCTGGACAAGCAGTGGCAGCAGACGTACTTCTGTGCCCAGCAGTCGCGCGAGTTTATGGAGGCCCTGGGGCTGGAGTACCCCTTGGAGTATGATGACGTGAAGGAGATCTCTGATCGCCGCGTGCTTGAGATGGCGCTTGAAGCGATAGAAGAGGAATGCGCTCGACAAACAGCGCTGCACGACGAACACAAGGACGTCTACCAAGCCGTGCACACCATCGAAGCCTTGCAGGTGTGTGTGGGTGTGTGTCTGGAGAGGGGAGGGGTTACATGTGCATGGATCTTGTATGTGCGTGCGTGCGTGTTTA